GTTAAGTACTTTTTTTGACATTTTTTTTTTCAATTTTTTTTTATTCATCTCAGTGAAAACTAATTATAATACAATTATAAAAAAATTATATTTTTATGAATCAGAACCCAGTGACATATTAGGTTTTCTAATGCCGTAAATAAAAAAATAATTTTTTCTGTGAATTTGATTTTTTTTAAATATTTAATATCATTGTCTGTAAAATACTCATTAAAGAGCAAGTATTTAAAAAAAACAATTTAAAATTTTCACTAAATAAAAAGGATTAAAACTTTGCACTAGATGATATCCCGTTTCTGTTTATTTTTTTAAAAAAAATTCTATTAAATTCAATTTTACTTTTTCTATTTTATTTTCTATTTGTTTCTATAAATTTTTTCTCGTTAGTTTTTCTTCTTCCATTTTCTGTAAATACTATCAAAAATTAAAGACTTGAATATAGAACTTTTTTGCCAAATAAGACCAAGATTTCGGCAAAATTTGAAAGTTTGAAAATTGTGTAAATTAATGAAATTTTTCCGAAATAGAACAAAGATAAAACAATTGTCTTGAAATCTAATTTGTTAAAAATTAGTCCTTAAATGCGATCAAAGATTCAGAATATTTGCTAAACCAATCACAGTCTAACTTTATAACAATTTAAAAAAATAAATTAGAAACCACTGCAGTTCCCTGATACAAAATCTAGCGTAAGTTTTGGTGTAAGTAAATTTTAAACACCGCAAAAATAAGTAGCTTTTATTTTTAACAAATATAGTTCATAGTCAAAATATTATAAATAAACTATCTTTATAAATTCAACTTGCAACAAATTAAAAACAAACGTCCAACGCTAACTTTGCAATATATTCAAGTGTGTATTTAATAAAATTAAATTAAATTAGCTTAAAATTAGTCCTCTATCAATGATTTAAGTCTTGTGATACAATTTGCTAAAACTAAACGAAAAATACCAATAAAATGACTTTATGAAACTTTTTCATGAATCGTCCAGGAAATATACATTTCTATTCTTTGAAAAATTGACGACTTTATCATTAAAATTTGAAAATCACTATTTTGAATTAAAACGTTTTAATTCTAATGAACAATTCTAATTGAAAATTGAAACGATATATTCAAATCCTGAATTCATTCCATCAGTATAGTGCTGCTCTAGACTAAAATGTTTCAATTCTAATGAAACGTTCGAAATTAAAAACGATATATTCAAATCCTAAATTGATTCCATCAATATAATGCTGTTGTGGACTAAAACGTTTCAATTCTAACAAAACTTCTAAAAATTAAAATGATATATTCAAATTCCAAATTGATTCCATCAATATAGTGCTGCTGTAGACTATAACGTTTCAATTTTAATGAAACGTTTGAAATTTAAAATGATATATTCAAATCCTCAATTGATTCCATCAATATAATGCTGTTGTAGACTAAAATGTTTCAATTCTAATGAAACGTTTGAAATTTAAAACGATATATTCAAGTCTTAAATTGATTTCATCAATATAATGCTGTTGTAGACTAAAACGTTTCAATTCTAACAAAACTTTTAAAAACTGAAACGATATGTTCAAATCCTACATTGATTCTATCAATATAGTCCTTCTATAGACTAAAATGTTTCAATTCTAATGAAACGTTTGAAATATAAAACGATGCAGCATTAAAATCCTAAGTTGATTTCATCAATGCATTTCTGTTGTTTCTAGTTGCATTACTGAAATAGATGACTATCTCAAGCATTTGCTTATGGAGTTCGATTAAGTATTCACCAGCTCAACAATAAAGACTGCTGCCATTCAATAGCTTGAAATTCTCCACACTCGCGAATCGATTGAGGATTTCTCGTAAAGCACAGCAGTGAATTAAATTCCCTGCATGTTTTGGTAATTAAATTAATAACGACAACGAGTCTCTATATTATCTATTTCTCTATTTATTTAGTGGGAAGGTGTTTAAAATCTGCTCATGGGAGCACGTAGTCAAGAATAATATTTCATGTTGTACTTAAAATTCTTATCAGTATGCATAGCAAATGATTCTATGTGAGCTCAAGGTGTATTAAAACAATATTCTAACTTATAACTTCGATGTAGCAAGAATCCAGCTTGGATCATGCAGCTGAATTCTAGGGCAGGAATTTTCAAATTTATATCAGTTGGCAAATTCTTAGTTCCAACGACAGTTTCAAACATTGTATGCTTCTTTGCTACAATAATCGTGTATTATTCAATTTTATGTCAAAAAACTTCGTGTTTTTGAAATTTACACGAGAAAGAAATTTATTCACGTGTTCAAATCAAAAATTTTCTTCTCGAAACACAACTGCATGTTCCTCAACGTTAATTAGATTTCAAAAATAAATATTATAACTAGAATTTTAGAATTGTAGTCAATAAAATAAATCATGTCATTAAAAGAAAATATAAAGATTTATTTTCTTTCAATGGCTTTATTGAAGTGAAAATATTAAATTCTTATTTGGTTTATATTTATTTGGTTTATATTTATTTGCTACAATTAAATTATAACTTATTATAATCACACATGACTCAACTTAAATTTAAATGAAGACCACTTGAGCTTTTTATGTGAAAAAGAAGTGTAAATTTATACTTTTTTATACGAATCTCAACTTCAAACATTATTTCATCATATTTAAATAAAAAACCAATTTGTATGGCTTAAAATCCCTAATGTGATATGAAATAAAAAAAAACAATTTAGCATTTATAATGGTTATAGTACCTGATTCAATACTTAACTTGCTTCAAAATATATAAAAGGGAAATAACAGTCGATATGTTTCAAGCACCTCAAAAGCGACTGTTTTCAACACGTGTTAGACATGTGACTTGTCATTTACGTCTGGTAAGTCTTGAAAATGGGTGCCTATTTTTGAAGCGCTTGAAACATGTGGACTGTTATTTTCTTTTTATGAATTTTTGTATTTTTGACTGTATTTTTGAAGCCAATTAAGTATTTAATCTTATAATATCTTACCGCTTCAGTTTCTTGGGATTATTTTTTAGCTGCTACAGTATTTACAGCTTTTTTATTTTAAACTTTTATTTTTCCAATTCCCACCTGGGTTGACATTCGTCAATTGAGGTGTATTAGGGCGCTAATATTGGCTACTCTTTCAGAGGCACTATATTAGGTGGGCGAACTTTGCTCCCACAGTAAGGAAAGATAATACCACCAGAAAGATAGAACATTCATTTTTTGTCCGTGATTTGAACCCATAACCGTTCTGATGCAAGGCCAGTTTCCTGACCCCAACTCAGTTCATTCGGCATATTATTTTAACTTTAAATTTTTTATCTAATTTTCAATCATTCAAATTTTTGGGACTTTAAGACGGGACTTTAAGTTAAAGGGACTTTAAGTTGGGACTTTAAGTCCCTTTAAAATTATTCTTTGTTTTGTTTTGAAGTATTCAAATTATTTCGAAACATTGAAAAAAATCACTGATGTAGATTTACATTCCACGCAGCATTTAAATTAATACTGATTAATACCAGAGAATATCAAATAATGGACAAATACAATACCCACAGTGGCCATGGGAAGCTACATGTTACTGAATTCGTCCAATTTACAAGGTGTTCTATAATTACCAACTTTAATAGATATTTTTAAAATATTTGGTGAAAGGAAATCAGAAGTATGTGCTGGTTAAGAATTACAAATTAATATTCAAAGAGAAAATGAAAACGCTATCAAAATCCCATTAATAAACAACAAACTCAGTTCAAATGCACTATGGAACTTATACGTTTCGTAATAATAGTCTTTCTATTTACATGTGCTTCTTCTGACAAACAAAATTTGAAGTTTTTAAATTAATAATGCATTTTTAATTAATTTTTCATCGCATAAGGTTTTTTCTCTTTTTTAACGTTTAAATGCTAATCAGGGCTCCTGGTGTGTGCATTTATTTTTGTTGAAATTAATTATATAAAAAAAAATATTGCTTTATTAACTATTTTAAATTATTAAACTTTGTTATTAAAGTTTAGTGTATTGTAAAGAGTACACTGTAAAAAGTGTCGAATAAAATTTAGTTAAAAAGTACAGACACTTTGGGTGTCTGTAAAATCTATTTTTACTATAGAAATATTACACCATAATTTGTTTTAATTATATCAGATTTTTTGTTCCGTAACATGTTTCAATAAAAGGGAATTTAACGTAAGAAATTCCGTAATATCGGTAATTTTTACCGAAATTTAATACGGAAATTTCTACCATGTGGAAGAAAACTAATTTGATTTATTGCTTTAAACATTCTTTTGAATAAATATTTTTTTACTTTAAAATAATATGGAAGACGAATAGTTCAAAAGATAACGCCAAGAACCTAAAATAATTAAAAGCTTTTTAAAACCAATTTTCATCTAAAGAGACGCATGTAGACAATATTTTATAACACCTAATTATTCATCATTTTATTTTAAATATTAAGTTTTTTCAACTGCCAAACGCTTTTTGTGCTGCGCAAAAAAGTCCTTGATAAATAACAGGACTTTAATTAAATACTTGAATCATCTAACGAAAAGGTAAAAATTATTTGAGTAAATTAATAAAGTAAAAAAGCTTTATCGAAAGATTAATGTCAATTAAGGAGTAAAATAATGAACAAAACTATAGTAAATTTGGCAAACCTTATAAAGCTTTACATTTTAATGAAGCAAGATCCTTATTTTCCAAACAAACATTAATATTTGCACTTGAGGAAGGTATTAAATTTCAAAATTTGAAAGCGAATTCGCATAAAAAAACCTTGAGAAAAATTCTTACAACTTTTTTGACTATAGCATTTTAATAAATAAAAATAATGATCAAAATAGATTTAATTCTTTAAATTTATAGCCAACATTTTCCTTTTTCGGTCTTAAATCATAATGGCATGTTTCAAAATTAATTAGTTCTTTCTAAATTTTTTGCATGGCAAGGAGGCGTTGCTGCAGACTAATATTATTCTCTCGTTGCAGCTATGCCGGAATTGTGGGCCGTTGCCGGCCGACGTGCCTCCTTGCCTTGCAACCTCTCCGAACCTGAAGATTCTGTGACTCTTATTCTGTGGTACAAGGGTGAGACAAAGGCACCAATCTACACCTTGGATGCCAGAAAAGGTTCCCTAGAAAAAGCTAGACATTTTCCCTCAACAGAGCTTGGAGCACGCGCCAACTTTGACATGAGTGCTGATCCACCTACTTTAGATTTGAATCCGGTACATGCTGAAGATGATGGGGTATACAAATGTAGAATAGAATTTAAAAGATCGAGGACTTTGACGCAGTTTGTCCGTTTACATGTTATCGGTAAGTTAAATAAAACTATTTAGGGAGTTTTAACGGTAATAATCTTTAATTGGTGTTGGAATCAGTAAACATTGAAAAATAACTATGATGCAATCATATACGTCATTGATAAGTATGATGTAATCACATGCGTTAAAGCTATAGTGTTAGCTTCCAATTTTTGGACAGAAAAATTGCCATGAGATAACAAATAATTGAATATTCCCTAAAAATTCTTTTCTTCTGAGTAAGTGACTCGAGATGAAAATACTTGTTAAAATAAATCAAACATTTACCAAAATAATTTACGCGAAAATATAATAAAAGTAAAATGAAGAAATACAAAAATTAGGTGAGAAAGACAAATCCATCATCACCAAAATTATATATATATATATATATATACACAGTCAATTTTCTGACCTTGCACACCACAGTACTTTCCCCATAGTGGACGATGGACTCGGACGATGAAGAACTTCATGTCTAACATGCTGGAATGCGTACTGTGAATCCAGATCTAGTCACTTGGGGTGGAATAACAAGCTTCACTCTTTTGTTTCCATTGCCTTGCTCTGTTGTGGTTTTAGAACTTGTAGACGATGAAACAGGCTCGAAATTATTTTCAACCAGTACAGGTTGTTTCTGAAGTATGTTGACATGTCCGAAAAATAGGGCTTTATTCTATTCAGAGTCGATTCTCTTTAAAACAATATATGGTTCATAAAATGGTTGTTGCAAACTATTTAGAACAGTGTCCGTAAAGGCAAATACTTGTGAGCAAGTTTTCATATATTTGAATATAAATGGTTTCTGCTTTAACTGATGATGAAATAGGATGTTTTAATTTTTCTATAGTGCTTTTTAAATTCTTAAGGAATTCTGATTGCACTTCAATGTTTGAATTTGCGAAAAAATCATAAGGAAGTTTTATATTTTACTCTTACAAGAGTTCTGCTGAAGTGGTTTGACAATCATTTCGCAAGGTTGTGCGAAACTTTGCGTGACTTTGTTAAGCTTGGATTTTTGTGGAACGATTGCATTCAAAGTACCATGCCAACGTTCTACACAGAAATTAGCTCGTGGGTGATATGCAGTAGTTTTATTTCTTTTAAAGATAAGTAATTTTGAAAGTTCTTGGAACAATTGAGACTCAAATTGCGCACCATGTGCATCAACCGAACGTTCAATAGATATTACCACCCTGAGCATTGCACTGCCAACAGACTTAATTACAGACTAACAGACCAACAGACTAAAATTATTTCAACCATAGATGAACTTTTTCGCAACATTTTCCAAAATATCACATGGAATTACAAAAATCTTATCTTAGGTGGCTCAGTGAACGTGCTATATTAGTAGCCAAAAACAGTAATGTACTACAAGACAATTTTGAAAAGAGACTAAACTGGACGCCAAAGACGGTTATTTCAGTATAAATAAATGTTAAATGGTATTGTAGGATAAAGATGGGTTTGTATTATTGTATTTGATATTTTGTACACAGAACTTAAGAGTACCTAAAAGTTAAAATGAATTTTTTCATGATTCACTAGATAAATAATTTGTTTAAATCATTAATATGATGCTATTAAATAGATAAAGAGGAGATTAATTTTCAAAATATTTTTCATGTGCTAAGTGCATTTACATTCTTTCATTAAATTAACGGAAATAAATACATTAATATATTTTAGAATTTAATTTGTTCTATTTTTTTTAAATTCGATTTAAACTAATCATAATGAATGAATGCTAAATAACTTATTATTTAAAAATAATTTATGCATTTTGAATATATATATAGTGTATGGTTCTCAGACGCATGGTTACGGTATACGAGATGCTATTATTTTTTTTTACATTGTCACCTTAATTTATTTCTAATTTAAGTTGTAACTCTATTACATTTGTAAAGAACCACTACAGCTTGTTTTGGTTTTTAAAAAATAGAAAGTGATTCAAGTCAGAGGTGCGAAATAGGCTTTTTGTGATCTGGTGATTGTTTAGAACATCATGGATACATTTGATAAGAAAGCAGTCGCTTCGTGAATTTACGGCTATGAGTATAATATGCATGATTTGGAATGTAATCTATTTTTATGTCTTACTTATCGAATTAAATATGTTTTTATATAATTTATCAGGGATCGTCATAAATTATTCATCTGCTAGCACAGTCAATGAGAATCGTTCGAACAAAATGGTGACAACTCATCACAATATTTCTAAAAAAAATAATACAAATTTTTTTTCTTCTTCACAGTGCTAAATTTTTCAATTAAAAATGCTGTAAAATGAAACAAATGGAAGAAAACTTTTGTAATAAATGCTCGCATATTATTAATCACAATCACGCATTATTTAACAATTAAAGCATTTAATGGTCTTTTAAAATTTGACAAACTACAGTTATTAAAGCAACCCTTGTATTTATCTCAAATTTTGAAGTACGAATAAATAATCCCTTAAAAGAATTATGCTATGAATAATAAGATGGCAAATCGGAAAAGTTAGAAAAACTTATAAATAAATGAGATTTCCTCACGACATCTTTCGTCTTTTTATTCCCAGGCGCACCTAGAACTCAAAATGATGTCTTGTTTTACTGACAGCTGGCCTTAATCGGCTAATCTCATTTACCTAGGTTGCCATAATTACTCCTTTGCTCGCTTTTTAAGGCTCTTTTTTAGCTTTCTTTTAAGAAAAAGAAGAAAAAATCAGTATGTGGGAAGAAATAATATTACGGAACTCTGCCTTATATCTTTTTATTCGTTTTGTATTATCAAACTAAGAGAAAGGGTTTTTTTCACAATTTTATTTTTTATTACTAAGTTTAATTACCTTTTTTTCTATTTTCAACGAATTAACGTTATTTTTATTCCTTTTAAAACAATAATGCTGGTTTTTTAAAAACGTAAAATTGTGACGTTTGCTTTATTTTAATTTTTTCGTAAAGCTTGTGTTTCGAAGCGGTTAATTTAAAAGTATCAGTTAATTAAGATAAAACAACGGATCCTTTGTTCATCCTAAATGATAGAAAGTGGAAGACACCCATTTTTACATATTTATAGCAACTTATGTGCAGTGCAGAAAATATTGAAATTAAAAAAAAACATATTACCCTGAATAGCTTTTGTTCTAATGATCCGATTTTAGTGAACTATGCGCCGATCATAATGGTTCAAAGAGGCAATCTCACTTAAAATAATTAATTAGCGCTAACAATTAATTAAGTTAAAGAATCATGCACAGCAACGTTTTTTATATGCCGTTAAATATGCCTTTCTTTTCGGCAAATTTGGATTTTTGACTAAAAAAATATGGGGGATTCCCACAATCCGGGAAATATGATGCCGATTGTTTAATTAAGAAAGCGATCGAGCATTCAGGTTTCTTTACGTTAATTTTACCTTTTGCGTATGTCACCATGTCTTGGAATTTCTTAAGAGAATGCAAAAATTAAGTTATCAGTAACTAATTGACACATAATATAGGGGTTATTAATCTAAATCATTGAGATTAGCATTTAGTTAGTGAACAACATTTTATTTGAAATATATATATANTAAAAATCTATCGACTGCTATATATATATACAACAAAAACACGAAGAAAATTGAGAAAAACGATAAGTTTCATTTACTGAGAGTAAGCTGCAAATAAGCAGAACTCATTAAATAAGTTCAAAATGAAGATGAAAGAAAAGAAATTTACAGACATATGAAAAACGGGGGAGAAAGAAAAAAAATAACAAACAACTGGAAAAAAAAGGATAAAATGTTTTTTAAAAAATCTGGAAAATTTAAGATATAATCTTTTCGTCAGCCCACACGATTATATCCGCAAAAAAGATTATATCCGCAATCTTTTATTTTCCGGATTTTTTTAAAACAATTTTTATCCCTTTTCTTTTCTTTTTTTTTTAGTTGTTTGTTATTATTTTTTTTTCTTTTTTTTTCTTTCCTCCCTTTTATTTAATTTTTGGCATTGTACCATTAAAGTGCAATAATGTGTACAAGTAATTACATATGATTAATTTGTATAAGTAATTATTTTTACTTATTTAAGAATTATAACAAAGCATTCTTGTTAATATAACTTGAAAAATGTATTTCGCATGCATACGCACTACAAAATATCAGTATGCAAAATAATTCGCAAACTTTGCTGATTTTACCTCGGATCGGATAATTTGGTAACTTATTATGAGACTTTTTTTATGAACAAGGAATATAAAAATAGATATTATGGATGCTCATTTTCTACGATGTTGTTTAAAAGTAAATTTAAGTAATATGAAACAAAACATGCAATTTATTTCTTACCCATGTTTTAATATTAGTGAAAAACTACATTAAGTCAGCGTTTCATTTTTAACACTTTACATTTCAAGAAAAACTTAATATCAGATATATTATATCTATCATCTCAAATTTTCGTAAAACCTTAATCTTTCAAAAACATGCGGTATATTTTTTTTAAAAAATATATATGATCTAATTCATTTACATAAAACAATTCAATGACGCTTAAACATTTCCGAACATTCTCTGTAGATTTGAATAAAAAAATATTCGAAAGCTTTGCTGATAATAGAAACAAAGACTCTGAAGGCTAATCAGCGAGTGCGGCTTAAAACATTTATATTCCCCTAAAAAGTTTTGCTAACGATCGTTTGAAAAAATAAATGACCCAGAGAGTTTGAAAAATTAGCGCAACTGTTTAAAAAAGGAAACGAAAGTTTGAGTTCTTTCATCAAACTAAAATTTGGCTCCAAGCAGTCGCCAAAGTAATGCGAAGATATACATTTCGGGATATCGATCGCCAGGACAAAAATATTCCGCAACATTTCCTCCGCCAAGAGAAAACGTTCAATTCCCTAAATGAATGCGTGCATTTTTTTTTTTTGATAAAGCTGGGTCAGATGAATATCATTTTTTTTTGTATCCTGAAATGCACATAAAGAAAGAAACTTTAGTTACCACCTATTAAGAAAAAAAAATATTTATTTTATC